CTTTTTTGAAAGGCCGAGGAGATGGGTTTGCTATCGAAGCTTGCTCATTTGGGATTGCGCAATCGCACCTCCATATATGTTGATGACGTTGTCACCTTCATCGAGCCAACTATGCTCAGCCTCAAGGCATACACGGCGATCCTTGAGGATTTTAGGGTGACCTCTAGGCTTTACACCAACTTTGCAAAATGCTCAACCCACCCCATTAGATTCCCCCGAGTAGATTGGGATAGTGCGGCAGCAACTATGATGTCTTGTTCTTCAATTCCCTTGCCAGTACCTTGGGTTGTCTCTCGGCCTTCGTAAGCCTTCGGCGGCGATCTTGTAGCCGCTAGTGGATAGATTGCTAGGCTGCATAGCTTCCCTTCTATATCGTGGTGGACGTATGAACCTGTTCAAACCCATGCTCTCGGCAATGCCGGTGCATTCCATGCTTGCACTTGATATGCCAGCAAGATCCCTCAAGGACATGATCAAGACTTGTCGTGGATTTCTTTGGAAGGGAAGCAATTTGAGGGCTTGGGACAAGGTTTGCATGACAAAAGATCTCGGCGGCCTTGGGATCCGAAACCTTCGGCTGCTCAACATAGCCTTGCATGCTAAGATTGTCGTGGTTGCAGCCCACGGTGGCTGAGAAGCCATGGGGAGAGTTCAAAATCCAGGTGCCTGCAGAATCTCTCACGATCTTCAATGCCGCCACTATATCCATCATTGGGGACGGTAGACCTGCGCTCTTCTGGAGTGATTGGTGGCTACTAGCAGGCCGCATCTACGATATCGCACCATGCTTATTCACCTAAATTCAGGCTAGGGTAGCTCAATCCCGCATGGTGAGACAAGGGCTACGAGGAGACTGGTGGAGGGATGTTAGATCTCAGTGCAGATACACTTTGGGAGTTTCTTCAAATGACGGACTGGAGGGCCGTCATTCCGCTTGAGGACGGCTTGGCTGATGCGCTGACCTGGGTATGGGAGGGTGACCATTGCTTCTCAACCCGAACACCCTGCAAGGCTCTCATCGGCGGTGTGTGGAAACAACCAGAGCAGATTAGGTTTGGTGTTCAGGTGAACACCCTCACCTGATAAATGTTTGATTGGCTAGCCCTGCAAGATAGGTGTTGGACGACCGACAGATTGCAGTACCAGGGCCTGTCACACGCCTAGGCTTTCCTATTTTGTGATAAAGAGCCAGAGTCACTATAACATATTCTCCTAGGATGTATGTTTGCTCGACATGTTTGACACACAATACTGGAGTTATGGGGGCTTGGAAGCTAGATGCCTTCCCCCGACGAGGAGCTGCTCTAATGGTGGGTTTCCAAGAGCACGGGTACGCAGGTGGACAGGGATGCTTGGACCGGTATCATCTAGGTCACCTCGACCATTTGGGCGCATCGGAATGACGTGGTCTTTAAACGGGCTACCACAACTGTGAACGTAGTGCTGCAACGTATCCATGATGAGGGGAGCAACTGGAGTACCACATCACTCTTTAGAGATACGAGTTTTGGATCCATTCTAGTGACGGTGGACAGGTCGAGAAGTAGTGTGTAGTCCGCATGTCGTTCCCTCTTCTTGGCCTCCATGCAGGCGTCTATTGCGTTGTAACTTGCAATTTTTTGCTTTCCTTCTATGAGCCTGATATTACTCTGAGAATGTATTCTTGAAAAATATTTTTTTTCATGCCAGCAAGACTCTACTTTTACATTAAAGGTAGAGGGGGAAAGGCTAAAAAATACTAGGGTTTTCAAACAATAACCAGAAAAAAGAAAAAGAACAAGGAATGTCACTCCAGCTAGAACTTCGGCGTTGCGGGTGTTTAGGATGCTTTGCAGTTCTTAAGAACCTTTTTAATAGGTTGGGTCCCTAATAGATTTGGGTCCTTCCAAAAAAGAAGATCCTGACGCAACACAATGCTACTTTTACTCTTGAGTGCCTCTTCAAGAAGATCAAGATCATTGAGCAGAACATGCATGTTAGAAACTATGCCGGGGCTGTTATGGGGCTGGCACATGGACCGGAGGTGACGACCTGGCCCACTTCACATCATCGCACAATAAGATACATTACTATATCTCGCTTATCGCCTCGCCTGAAGGTTTTTTGTGCGAGTTCTAGGGCCGGCCCATTTATTCTCCTCGTTCACTTGCTCTGTTTCGATCCTCGCTCCTCGCATGCTCGCTGTACTGATTTTTGGTTCATTTTTTAGCTTTTTCTTATGTTTTCCCTTTTCCTTTTCGGGTTCTTTGTTTCTTCATGGTTTTCGTTGGTTTTATGTCTTTCTTTCATTTTTCAACGGTTTTCTTTGTTTCTTTTATGGTTAGACTTTTCTTTATTTTTTTCTTTGTTTGTTTCTCTATTTTTCCCTGGCTTTTTACTTTTCTTTTTCTTCATTTTCCTTTATTACTTTGTTTTCCTTTTTCGGTTTTTATCGGTTCTCTTCGTTTTTGTTTATACATTTTTCGTATCCACGAGGAACATTTTTTGTATAGGTATTTCACATTTCTTAAATACATGACTTATATTTTGGAGAAATTATTTTTTAGTGTCTACTTTTTCCATACACGCTGTACATTTTTTTGTACAGATCAGGAACATTTTCCATATACATGTTTAACAATATGGAAATACTAGATTACCATTTTTTACAACAAATATTTCTTATGTTCACTTTATACATACACATTTTTCATTTTCTATACATCCCGAATATTTTAGAAATAGTTGATTAACATTTTTAAACATATATTTTTTCTGTCTACATTTTCATACAGATTGTACATTTTTTATTACACCAGGAGCATTTTTCAATAGAAATTTAACAGTTTGCAAACACATGATTAACATTTTTTAAAAACTTACATTTTATTCCGGCTTTTCTCCATAACCATTGTACATTTTTCAACACATTGGATGTGTACATTCATAAACATTTTTTCCACATACATTTAACATTTTTCAAATGCAAGATCAATATTTGTCAAAAAATTATGTGCAGTGTTTTTCAAAATATATATTTACAATATGTGGAAACCAAAATTAAAAGGGAGGAATAAAAAACAAAAACAAACATGTGAAGAAAAGAAATGTGAAAAAAATGAACGCTTTATGGCCTGTAGCCTCCCGCGCGCTAGCCTGGCCCAATATCGTGCTCGCTTCAGGCGAGGCAGCCATATGTCTCGCTAGCGCTAGCCTGGCCCAATATCGTGCTCGCTTCAGGCGAGGCAGTCATATGTCTTGCTATAAGCATGCCACAGGTGCGCCAGGCAAACCCTATTTGGTGCTGCGGGCGTCCGTCATAGGGCATTTTGCTAATGGGCGCCTACAGCGCACATCCCCCTGCCGTGTTTTGGGCCGGCCCAGTTTTTTTCCTTCCCCTTTTCTGTAAAAACTGTTAAATAGGTGGGCAGCTGATGATTCGAACCTGAGACTTCAACCATCAGGTAGCATGACACCAACCACTCGAGAAAACACACTACATGCGACAAGTTACTCGTTTTTCTCCTTCTATTCTTTCTTCAGATCGTTGTTTTGTTGGTTTTTCTATTTCTCTTTTTCTTTTTCTTATCCCTTTCTCTTGTGTTTTCTTTTGCAAATCCGTGAACTTTTCTCACTTTTTGCAATTTTTTTAAAATAGATGAACTCTTTTTAAAAAAATGAAGTTTTTTCAGAATCTATGAACTTTTTCAAATTTGTTAAACTTTTATTTAAAATTGATGATTTTTTTTCAAATTTGAAGACTTTTTTTCCAAACCGATGAACTTCTTTAAAAAATTGATGAACTTTCTTCATTTATTATGGACCTTTTTTCAAATTTGACGAACTTTTTTTAAAATTTGATGAACATTTTTTCAAAATTGATGAAATCTTTTCCAAATTTGACGAACTTCTTTTGTAAATCGATGAACTTTTTCAAATTTGATGAAAGTTTTCTGAAATCAATGAACTTTTTTCAAATTTGATGAACTTTTTTTCTAAACGGTGAACTTTTATTTCAATTTTTTAGAATTGGTGAACCTTTTTTCAAAATTTTATGAATTTTTTTCATTAAAAATCGACATTTCCAAAAAAAAGTTCAAAAATCTAAGTGGTATTGCGTAATAAATGGTGCGGCAGTTATGGTTCTTAAAGAGTTTCTGTAATTCTGTTTACAATTAATGAGTAGCCTTTTGATGGTGTAGTTGTCAGCCGAACAACACTGCAAACGTATTGGCACGAGTTCGAGTCGTGGTTCTGGCATATTTTTGCGTTCCTTTTTCCCTAGACTTTCTACCGCACTCT